AAGACAACCTGTCCCGACCGTGTCCTTCCCTCGACACTCCACACCTCACACTGCACAGTGCACTCTTCGCACTCCAAACTTCAAACTTCACACTCCACACTTCACACTCCACACTTCTCACTTCTCACTGCTTCCTTCACACTCCAAACCTCACACTTCACACTTCACACTTCACACTGCACACTTCACACTTCACAGTCCACACTTCACACTTCACACTTCACAGTCCACACTTCACACTTCACACTTCACAGTCCACACTTCACACTTCACACTTCACAACTTGGGAGGGGGTGTGGAACGGGGGGGGAGCCTTCCCCTCCCCCTTTCACCTTCTCGCCTTCTCCCTGCTTCCTTCACAACTCCAAAAACTTCACAGTCCACACTTCTCACTTCTCACTTCGCACTTCACACTTCACACTTCACACTCCACATTTCACACTTCTCACTTCACACTTCTCACTTCTCACTTCTCACTGCTTCCTTCACACTCCAAACTTCACACTTCTCACTTCGCACTTCACACTCCACACTTCACAGTCCACACTTCACACTTCTTACTTCTCACTGCTTCCTTCACACTCCAAACTTCACACTTCTCACTTCGCACTTCACACTCCACACTTCACAGTCCACACTTCACTCACCTTCACACTCACAGGCCACACTCTCTACACTTCTCAACTGCTTCCTTCAACTCCAACCTCAACACTCCAAACCTCACACTTCACACTTCACACTGCGCTCTTCGCACTCCACACTGCACAGTCCACACTTCTCACTTCACACTTCTCACTTCTCACTGCTTCCTTCACACTCCAAACTTCACACTTCTCACTTCGCACTTCACACTCCACACTTCACAGTCCACACTTCACACTTCTCACTTCTCACTGCTTCCTTCCCACTCCAAGCTTCACACTCCAAACTTCACACTTCACACTTCTCACTTCGCACTTCACACTCCACACTTCACTCACACTTCACACTTCACAGTCCACACTTCACACTTCTCACTGCTTCCTTCACACTCCAAACTTCACACTTCACACTTCTCACTTCGCACTTCACACTCCACACCTCACTCACACTTCACACTTCACAGTCCACACTTCACACTTCTCACTGCTTCCTTCACACTCCAAACCTCACACTTCACACTTCACACTTCACACTGCGCTCTTCGCACTCCAAACTTAAACTTCACACTCCACACTTCACACTTCTCACTGCTTCCTTCACACTTCACACTTCACACTGCGCTCTTCAAGCCCCACACTTCACACTGCTCTAAACCTACGTCCAACAAAAAAAAGACTAGTGCCAAAATGGAGAAAATCTGCTAACAAATCCATTTCGCAGCCTTCATGCAGCCACTCCAAGACGATTTCCGAGATCCAGCTGCAAAAGACAATAGTATTACGAATGCAGCCACAGCACGAAGCAACCTTGACGCAGCCATTACAATGCGATCTGCAGAGACTGAGTTGCAAAGCACAATAGAACTACGCGCAACGGCGTCGGAAATTGTAGCTCCAAAACCGGATCTCGACGCCAGAGCGAAAAAAAGACGATTTTGAAGCACTTTTTAAAGGGATTTTTAGAAGGAAAATCACTAGCGCCAAAATGGAGAAAATCTGCTAACAAATCCATGTCGCCGCCTTCATGCAGCCACTCCAATACGATTTACGAGATCCAGCTGCAAAAGACAATAGTATTACGAATGGAGCCACAGCACGCAGCAACCTTGACGCAGCCATTACAATGCGATCTGCAGAGATTGAGTTCCAAAACACAATAGAACTACGCGCAACGGCGTCGGAAATTGTAGCTCCAAAACCGGGATCTCGACGCCAGAGCGAAAAAAAGACGATTTTGAAGCACTTTTTAAAAGGATTTTTAGAAGGAAAATCACTAGCGCCAAAATGGAGAAAATCTGCTGACAAATCACTGTGGCAGCCTTCATGCAGCCACTCCAGTACGATTTACGAGATCCAGCTGCAAAAGATAATAGTATTACCAATGCAGCCACAGCACGAAGCAACCTTGACACAGCCATTTACATTGCGGGAACGATCCTACAGTTGCAAAGCACAATGGAATTCCATCGGCAACTCATCCACCAGCAACACTTGCAACCCCATTTACAATGCGGGAACGATCCTAGAGTTGCAAATCACAATGGAATTCCATCAGCAACTCATCCACCAGCACCACTTGCAACCCCATTTACAATGCGGGAACGATCCTACAGTTGCAAAATCAACAATGGAATTCTGTCGCCCCCACATGCACGAAACACGTTTGAAACCCCATTTACAATGCCGGAACCGATCCGAGACCCGATCCGAGAACCATCCGGCATGATCCGACCACACTAACCCGTCTCGCCCCGTCGCACCGCAGAGGTAGATCATCGAGGTTCGGGGAGGAACTTTGTAATGGAAAAACTAGGAGTTTTCGTGCATCTGCTATCTCTCAAAAACACATTTCGTGCGAGACTTCCTTCAAAACTCCATCGGCAACTCCTCCCCATCACCAACTTGCAATCCCATTTACATTGCGGGAACGATCCTAGAGTTGCAAATCACAATGGAATTCCATCGGCAACTCATCCACCAGCACCACTTGCAATCCCATTTACATTGCGGGAACGATCCTACATTTGCAAATCACAATGGAATTCTGTCGACCGCACATGCACGAAAAACACTTGAAACCCCATTTACAATGCGGAACCGATCCGACCATGGTCCGAGAATGATCCGACCATGGTCCGAGAATGATCCGACCACACACGAGACCGTCTCGCACCCGTCTCACCGCAGAGGTAGATCATCGACGTTCGGGGACGCACTTTGTCTGGAA